GAAATTGATAGTGTCATGGTACAAAGCTCTTGTTAAACCTATCCTGAGTACTGTGTACCAATTCTAGTCATCTGTGTCCAAGAAAGATGGATTCAAAGACAAATACACTCAAGGCAGGCCAAGCAGGATAATCAAAGGAATTAAGAATGTTTTTCTTCAGAAGAGATGGAAAGATGTGGCTTCTTTAGCCTAGAGAAACAAAAACTAAGAGAAGAGATGATTGCTCTCCTGAAATACATCAGTAGAGCAAATAGCAAAGAAGGGAACGAGGATTTCTGTAGATAAAGAATGATACTGGCAGAAGAGCAAAAAGATATAGGTTAGAAGTTAATGAATTTAGGCTGGAAATCAAAAGAAAATGTCTAAGCATGAGAGGAGTGACATTCTGGAACAACACTGCAATAAGAGATAGAGAATGGCACAAAACAAACTTGTTTTTAAAACAGCAACTGGAAAGATTATGAATATGATTATTCAAAGCAGTTGCTGTGACAGCAGGGCTCAATAAATAGTGTTGTTCTTTCCAGTTCTACACTGATGGCTCAGCTGATGTGATTGACCCTATTTTGATTGGAAAATCAACAGAAGGTGCAGCTAATGGCAGGGAGTGTGTTTCTGATTCAAAGATTTTGCAGAATTTGTTAGGAAAATACCTCTTTCAGTCATGGGCAAATGGAAAAATAGACAAACTTTCCAGCCAGCCCTCTATCACAACTGAATGATCTCTAAATATTGCCAGGTGACGTTTTCTTGAGCTAGATAAGAACTAGAAATAATCACAAATGGACAAGTGTTTGAAGTACTCCATTTTTCAAAAAGGTTCTTTTTTCATGTAAAAATATTTTGAAAAGATCAGTCAGAATATTATACTCACCAGGTAAATACCATTTTCTTTAGAGAACCACATTCATTTTAAAAAGTTGACCCCAAAAAACCCTAAACCCAAACCAGATTTACTGAACAATGGATTGAGAGTGATGCTCATTTCATCAGTCATATGTCAAGATTTTTCACATTCTTTTCAGGCAGCAACCTTTAACAGATCAAACAGGAAACTAATTCTCTGTTTGACATCTGTTGATATTTCTCTGATTTGTAACATTTATGCATTTATTTGCAAAATTGTTTTGGCAATCGGCTTTTAAATTTGCAATCGAAGCTAGGAAAGTGCTTTTTCTGTGAGTAAGGCAATAGTGCCATCTCGTGGGAAACACTCTGCTTCATGCCTGACAGTAGGCAAACGAGCCGTATCAGGAGAAAGGTTGACAGAACTCTCCAGCTTGGAGCCTTTCTTCTCACACACTTCTCCTCAAGAGAAATATAGGTATATGTTTTTTTTACAGCTGGCTCCCTCAGATTAGCATGTGAACATTCATCTAAAAGGCCCACTAGCATTTGCCAGGTGCTGTAGTATGGTTTTGTAAGGTTTTTGCTCTGCTCCAGGCTGCTCTCCTCCAGACCCACACTGCCGCAGTGGTCTGCTCAGGTATGGCTCATGGGAGCCAAGGTCCTGCTATGAAGGGCTCCATGGAGGGCGCCTGACCCCAGCTCTGACTTCTGCCCACATGCAGAGTGATGCTACTTTGCATCACCCAGCCTCACCAGGCAAGCATGAGCAACGAGTCCTCAGGGTCCTTGGCAGGTGTGCTGAACCATGGGTGCAGAAGGGACGTGCCAAGGCAATGGGCGCTGCTGCCTGAGACAATTCCGACCTTCTCAGGGTCCCACGCCAGCACGCTGCCATCTCACCTGGCTTTGGAGAATGAAGTCATTTACACATACACACACAAATTGCCTGTCGTACCTCATCCTCACATCTGCTCTCTACATTCTCAGTCCTTCTCATCTGATTTTGTGCCTCTTTGCCTGTTTAATGCCTTTTTTCTTCACTCTTCGCAGAGTGAAGAAAATACAAATAGCGCTTCACACATCAGAGGGTTCTGAAACCCTTTCTCCATTTACAATGTCAGTCATCTGACAGAGGGAAAACCACTAGGATTCATTAGTTTCTTTCATTGTTCTCTTTGGACTAGCACTGAAAGGAATATGCCAGGAACAAGGTCTTTACTTCCAGCTAGCTTCATGTGTACGGTTTCTTGGTAAAGAAGGGAATTGATTAACCTGAATCAGATTCCCTTTACACAGAGGTGTTAAAGAGAAACCAGCTGCCCACTTCATACTCCTGCCTTCTGTGGGAGGCTTCTCCTCCCACCGCCACACCGGTCCAGTGAGTCTTGTCAAACACTGTAAGTGCTCCTGGCCAAAATTACAGCAGGCTATAATACACAGTTGGGCTCCGGCCAATCAACTTCTTTGTAATCAAGTCAAGGGAACTAAAAGCACTTTTTTTTTTCTAGCTCCCCTGAAAAATGTAGTGTTTTGGAGCCATCAGATAAATATTAACTAGAAATAGGAATTAAATAGGATCCCATGCTCATAGCAAGCTTCCTTTTGCAGCCTGCGCTTAGTGGTACCAGACATGCTCAAGAATGAACCTGAGAGGCTGGTATTTCCACGCCTTTGTTGGTTCAGCGTTACCAGTGAAGCTAAGTGTCAGCAAAAACGTAAAAGAGGACCTTCATTTATCATTTGCACGCTCTTGCATATACCTCAGCATTATAAAATAAGAAGAAAATATCACAATCATATATTCTGGCTTCCTCTCTGAGGCCCTAGGATTTTCTTGGATTGTTATTCATGAAATATAAGACAAGCATCCACTCCCAATTTAAAATTCCTGTGATGGACAATGCATTACACCCCTTGATAAAGTGCACCAGCCTAGTTACAGCTGTACCAATAAGACCGCAAGCTCACAGAGAATAGATGTCACCTTGAGCTTTAGCATGCGATGTCCACTTGCAGTAACAGCAATTGAGATCTGGTTTAATTTGTTTTAATCTAAATGTACTCTTATTTTACAAAGGGGAATTCGGAGAAGGTCAGGTGCTGTTAGTGTAAGATACAAAGATCGCTTAGTCTTAGCATTTTATTAATTCTCTAATAAAATAACCCATTTTCAACACAGTTTTGAGGTACTAGCCTAAAGCATGCTCCAAGAATTCTTGATGTTTATGCAGACTAATTGAAACAGACATGTTATTTAGACTGCAGTCAGTCATCCCTGAAATTCCAGTCTGGGTGAGAAAAACATATGGTACTAAGTGGTATTAATCAACTGAAAATGGTTAAATTCAAATTTTCATATGCATTTCATTGATAAAAATAACTGAAATATTTGAAGCCAGTACCTCATTTAAACCACAAACTCTTCAGGCCAAGCAATACACCACACACTGATTGGAAATGAAAATACAATTGTATTCAGGTAATAACAATATATATATATAATGTTATTATATATATTATATGTAATACAATAAAGGACTGGCACAGCTCTATCCATATATGGTTTTAGTTAGGTAGATTTCTGCCCAAATTACAGCTGCTTGTAGAAGTAATCAAGTTTTGTTTTCTGAGCAAAGGTGTGATGTTCAGAATAAAGCTGAAGGCAGTGATAATGTGCCTTGGGGACAACTTTGCATTGAACCAGCCAATACTTCATATTCCCTCATCTAAGCTACTTGTCTCCCAGCCTGAATAGTAATCATTCACTTATTTGCACTATGTAAAGTGCTTTTAAAGAATAAAATACTCAATTTCTGATTGAAACATAAAACCAAGTAAAAGCATGTATAAAGCCTTGGGAAAAAGAAATCTGTCTACACAATACTCACTAAATGTAATATTATGATATGAATAAGTCACCTTGAGAACAGTCATAAAGACCAGCCCTAAAAAGCAGAGAGAAATTTGATAAAATAGCCCCCCCGTTTGTCTGAATTTTGTATTTGCGCTACAACTGGCTGTGATAAATATTTGTTGTGAACTACTTATTGTGAAAACTGTATAATTCTAATATTTCTAAAAACTATTTTAGTACTTAGTCATTTTCTACAGCAAACCTTGTGTTGTTTTTCAAAATTGCATCATTTTGCCAGATTTTTCACTTACGAAGTACCTGAGAATTATACTTTACCTTATTTCTCAAAGACAGATACCATATAACTAGAAAATATTTGTCACTTTTTTAGAAATCCATGTTTTTAACTAAAATGAGACAGTCAGTCATGAGGCGCAAATTACATGAAAGATCATTTGATAAAATGGTTGATGCTTCCAAATAATAAATGTTTGTCTTGTCCATGCTGTGCACGTATCACATGGGTTTTCACTGAAGGTCCTGAAGGCAATTTACAAATATAAGCGTTACATCTGCTGTATGGGACAGACTATAGTCCTCTAATGTAAAGGGCAGAATGCTGGCCATTGTGAAAAGAAAGAATTAGCGTAAAATGGTCTGTCTTTATAAAATGTTTCCTTTAAAACAACAAACTTATTCAGGCTAAAGCCCTTTAAGAAAAACAATATCAAGGAAGCGACGCTAACAGCATTAAACAGCATCTTCAGGCTGACATTTTTACTTTCAAACAGCTAACTTTTCATTGAGAGCTCTGTTACCCATTTCTGTAAGGCAGGAATGTTCCGTTCTCAAAGCCAGGAGAAAATTTAAAAATACCACCCACTTTTTGTTCATGAACTCTATTTGTGTTCATATTTTTAGCTTTTAGAAGCACAATGACATGAAATGCTCTAAGTTTGTGCTCTGCTTATTGAGTCAATGGCATACCTTCCACATAAACAACACACATGTCCATCAGCAAGATCATGCCGTATTTGCTTACATGTGTTTAAAACTATTAGAAAACCTGTTTCCAACTTTTCAGCCATAAAATGAAATATATGCACTTTTGTTTAGTATAACTGATTTGTATGGTGCATGACTAAAAGAAATACAGTACTGTCCTGAAACTTACATGCTCATATGGCTGCAAGCTGTAACAGCTTTCCATTTCTTCAGAGCAAAGCTAGACTATTTGAATCTACAGTAAGAAAACTGTGTAATGAACACCAATCAAAAATAGCTGACAAAGGTTACATAAAGATGAAGAATACTGTTTAATTTTGATGGCACTTTTACAGAATAGCAAACTTTTGCAGTACATACATGCAGTATAAAAGTAAACTTCAAAAGGTACAAATCCCAGGGGAACATACGGACATAATGTTTTCCAGGGAGCATTTTGATAATTTTTGGCCTTCTCATTTGCTTTCTCTCAGCTGTAGAGTATTTTTGCATCAGTTTATCGCAAACGTGTTAGTTTATCTCCAGAGCCTCTTGCAAGACTGAAACAGCACCACAGTTCATGGCCACCCACATGAAATGGGAGGGCTCCACCAGCTTCCTTCCCCCAACTTTCTCTTTCCTATCAGGATTTTGGGATAATCAATCTGAGATAGTTTCTGAATTCAAGTCTTCATTCTGCAGTAGGAATTTTAGCTGAGCCATTTGCCCTTGGTATCTGCTAACTCTGCATGACTGCACAACTCCGCAGTCTGTACTTTATGTTATTCAGTTGCAAACACTGAAGGAGGAAGATTGACGACATTTTGATGCCATCCAGTTTCCCAGAAATGGGTAGTAAAACATCCACAAATTTACACTGGCTCTGGGATAGCCTTTGAGTTGAGCCACATATAATCAGCCTTCAAAGAGCTGATGTGCAGGAGAAATTCTTCAGCGATCACAAAAGCCCTTGCAAACACATGTGCTGTCCTACATGAATACCTTGGCCCAACTGTGGTGCTTTTTTACATCATGTGCGGTCTCACTGCCATCAGTCCATCTCTAAAGAGTTTAAATTAGCTCAAAATGTAGCCTTATTTTCCCTGGTATTATCACTTTGATCATAAGTAATAGTGTCCTACAATTTTCTTGTAATATAAGCCTTGCTGATTTTTTTTTTGGTCACTTATAAGAGTTCACCCTTACAGGAACGATTCTACTTTTCTGTATTTAAAAGTGTGGCATTACCCGAGCTTGCAATTTAGGGCAGGGGGGAGAAACAACTGATCTCACTTAACATTTTTAAAAGTCTTATTAAAATATCAAATCCTCCATTTCACAGTCATGCTCCATTCACAGAACTAACAGGCAATTACAGGAATCCCTTTTTATAAAGCTCTTTTGTACTCAACAGTTAAGTCCATACAATCATATAGACTGATCTTTATTAGTTTTTACACTCTACACTGGCATCATGTGGATAAAAAGAAGCACAGGAGCTATTAATGTCTGACTTGACACTAAAAGCAATCCTCTGTCTGGCCTATAGATTTAACTGGCTATAAATAGGCTATGCGGGTAACTAGTACAAAACAGTACATTCCTATAAAAAGACTACTTACTGGCTGCAAAGTACAATTGTGTAAAGAGTAAGAACTCTTTAACTAATGAATTAAGTTACTGTACTGAGACTGCCTTCTTACTTTGCTAAAAACGGTCAGCTCTGAAACATTATGCAAGAAATTCCTACTGCTACTTTCTCACTGCAAGAACAAGTCATTGTCTGTCAATGTCTAGCTTCCTCTTTTGCTTTGAGACTACTAGATAAACTAGTGCCTGCTGCGGAGCAAGATGAGATGGTCCACCAAGCACTGTGAATCCATCTTGTACTGCATTTTTAGATGCTGGAGAATACTAGTTCCTAGTGGCATTACAGGTGTATGAGTCTGGGTCTACCCTGGCTGTCGTACTTTTCAAGAAAAACATACTTTCTTGATATAGTTTTAGTTTTCTTACAGTTAGTATGGAAACAACCTCACCTCAAAATAATAAAACCACAGACATGTCTTGTAATTACATGCAGAAGTCAAACATAAAATATCTAATTATAAAAAACCCTGTATCTCTTTAGCCCTTGGTAATTAGGAGATTCTAAGAGATTCTTCATTTTGCTGCTCAAACTCATACTAAAAAACACATAATTACCCTTGGTTGCAGCACAAGCTGCAGGTGCTCAGTTTCTCTAGAACTGTGGTGTTTTAGTCATGAGATCAGTGCAGAAATATGCAGGTTTATCACAAGCCCAGACCCATAGCTGTGACTGACAGGAAGGCTCTCAGAAGAGGAAAGAGATTGCTTTGGAAACAGATTTCTTTTGCGACTTGCTTAGACAACAAGAAAGCATACCACATACACGGGTGCTCCTTTCATTTGTGTCCCCTTAGTTCATTCAGAACAGTCCTGTGAATGACTCTCCATATACAGGACCTCATTTTGCTCTGGTGACTAAGAGGCCTAACTCCAATGAAAATACACCTGTAGAAGTAATTTCTCAGTTGCTCGACGGCTCATGGGGACCAGTACAAAAGTCTGCCTGAAATCTGATCTTGATATTTATAGAGCCTTCTGCCAAAGTCTTAAACCACACAAGAAGCAAAGAGAAAGAGAATAGACAGGTAAATCAGCACAAGGTCCCTGGAAAGGGATCACAGAATTTGTTCATGTAACTTAATTTTAAGAGTTAATAATTTCAGAACTAATAAAATATGTATTTGTTGATTTCATTATAGCAATAGTAATGAAGTGTCATGTTCCAGGACACAGGATGATTGCAACAGGAGAGAGAAAGGAATTTTTCCTCCCTCCAACTGTTAATATTCCAAAATTGCAGAGATGAATTTGGGGAAATTTCCGCATTCCTTTGAAGCATCAGATATTGACTGGAACGAGACAGTGGACTTGGTAAATTAAAGGTCAGATCCATTATGACAAATCCTATGTTCTTACGGAAAAGCACAAGGCCCCAAACAGTCACTTGTGTGGCTTGTGTTTAAGGCTGGCCCTACAGATGAGGTTCGAAGAGAAAGACAGTGTCAGTTCTCTTAGAAACAAAAATGCTGATATTAAAATCAACTTTTACAAGTGGAACAAAAAAATATTTAAAAATGTCAGAAGAAAAAGTTTTCAGGTCTTCAATTTTTACATTTAGAATGTGATAAATACCCACAGCAAGTGATAAAGGGCCAGGTTTTTGTGCCCGCATTCACAAGAATTACTAATCTATTAGTCTGGTGTGATGTCCATTAAAAATGATACTGAATAGTTAGGCCACCGTCAGCAAATATTTCAAGCCTGCAAATAGTCAGTCACACATTTTCAAAATATTTTAAGGTCCAAATTACAAATCTTTGGGATATTGATTTCTTAAGTAACAGAATTCATTTAACAAGGACTATTACTGCTTTGTTAAAAGTACACACCTGGTAGCGTGCTTTCATAAATAAACATGAATAAAGTCCTAGGCATTGATAAAATACTGGCAACTTATGGCTGCTCTGTGTGACTTCTACATTGTAGTTAGAAAATTCAGATTATCGTAAGGAGATATTCAAAATGATCCTGTGTGAGATTCACACATCCTGAGATTAGTACTGTTTCCTAAAATTGTAAATAAGCACCATTGAATGAAATTGTTTTCAAGTAATAGCTAATCTCAACATCTGTAACACTTACAATTTTGGACATATCAAGCATCCTATCAAGATGAACTGCATGCTCTGGTATTTGGGGAAAACATCCTAGATGCAACCGTTCTATCTACGGCTGCAACATTACAACATGGGTTCCTCAGAGCTCTGTAAACTTTGCCAAATGAGTATGATCCTATATTATACGTACCTTATTCTTTTTGTTTTTTTTTTTTTTTAAATCAAAAGGGGTGAATTAGTTTCTGAAATTATAAATAAACCTTCTATAATTATAAAAACACACTGAGAAAAAACAACATAACACCCCCATTTGGAGCGACAAACAACTGCCATTCACATTACTGTGAGATCTGAGGTACTCATGGAAGAGGAGAAGGCACCACTGAAGTTGACTGATCCGGATGTACTGAATCACAGAAACATATCCAGTTAACCTAAAGCCCTATTGGAGAGAAATATACATTTCAGTACAACTATTTTTTTCTGAATCTGCAAATTGGCTTAGCTTCAAGATGGGTACATGCTCATACTGTTTAAAAACCCCACACTTCATCCTTACCATCTCTTTAGCTCTCTCTTTAGATTTTGAAAAGCATGGAGCCAGCAGGCATGCAGCTAACTCGCTCTCTTGTGGGAAAGAGAGTAAGTTTCACTTACTATAAAACTGGCCATGGTATAAAGGTAACCAGCAGTGAGAGAACATGTGACAGTGGTCTGAGCAGGGTGAAAAGAAAGCTCTCTTCCAAGTAAGAAATCTCAGCCCTTTTCCACACAGACAAAAGAAAAGGGCCAACTCATTTTAAAAACAAAACTTGGACAAGCATATTAGAGGCAAACACCTTCAGCATGTTATTTCATCTCTTTCCTCAGTCTCTCAAGGGCTTAACGTGAAAACCATGAGTCATTATGAACTGAGTATGCCCACTTACTTGGGCTTCCGCTCCTTAATGGTGAAGAACTGTGGCTTCGAGATAGCTGCAAGACAAACAGAAATGGGAATTCAGCTCCACAGAGAAATGGGAATTCAGTTCCACTAAAGAACCGCACCCAAGAAAAGCACTGGGGACACATCAACATGCAGAAAATTTGCGCACATGTTACTATAATCAGTGAAACTCCACTGGTACAAAGTCAAATTCAACAAGTTTTTTGTCCTGCCTTTTACAACCTATGCAAAAAAAAGTGATTCTTACCCAAAGCAGCTCACATTTTCAATAATATTCACATTTTAAATTGAGAGTACTTGTTTCAAATTAATAATATGGGTAAACAATCACAATGGGTGATTTTTGCTGAGATAATTAAAAATATTGTGTAGCTATACCATATGCAGAACTCTGCTGAGGTTTCTCATCATCTTATTTGTACTGCTTTAGTTCTTCCTCTCCAGCCCACCCTACACTGATTTCCTGCTCCTTTGAGGCAGTGGAGGGTAAACTTAGATTACTAATTCCAGGAGGCAAGGACCATGTGCTATTTCTATGTACTGCAAGATGCCTAAAACACTTCCAGATGGTTCAATTATTTTTTAGAAGAGTACTGAAGCCAGAGGGAGTAGAAGCCTATACAGAAAGACAGAGTGGACTTCAAATGGGAAAGTGTTGTGAGATCCACAATTAATTGATACTTCTGAGAGTTTAACTGTGACCTGCTTCTCATACAGTTTCTCCATTGGCAATTACACCATGCAATAACTATCTGCCAGGTCAGCTTCACCTCACACCAAACAAATCCATTACATTCCCAGTATTCAAGTATGCATGTAGCACATCAGCATTTTTAAAAAGTTGCCTATGTTCTGAGTTTAAAACACTAGATTCTGTTTACACCACTACCTCTCAGCTGGGGCTTACACAATGAGATCGAAGAGGACTCATGCTACGGCTGCGGCTTCTGCTTCTACTTCTGCTCCTGTGAGACCACTGCAAGAGAAGAGATTAGCAAACCCATTTTGAGAACGAATATTTACTAAAGACAGAAGGTAAGCAGCCTTGCTGTGCTGAAACAAGGCTTGAGAACACAAAGGGTAGACTTTCTGTCTAAAAAAGGCTCTGCCAATAATCATACATCTTTACTGCATGATGAATACATTAACACAAATGGGACTATTCATGTATGCAAAACTAAAGGCAGGGTAAGGATCTAAAATTTGATATTGGATATACACAACTCCAGCCAGACAGGGAGCAATCAAGAATGTATCTTTTTATATTTTAAGATAGAGAGTTTAAATCTGATTACTTCCCTTAACACATTCCTTAAGGAAAGTACATACCAGAGCTCCTCTTTTCGTAACTGCCTCTCCCTTCACAATTACAATATCATTTTCAATCAGAGCAGGCCACACATGATAGGCCACCAAGGGAGCTGTGAAATCAGAGTCAAAGCTACGACGGTACCTGTTGAAAGACACGTATGTGTCACGTATGTGACATGTCCACATGTAAGCGCCAAAAGATAAACACGATGCTTCAAGTCACCAAGGCTGACAAAAGCAGAATATTAGTTATAGCTCATAGATATCTTTCTTGACAATATTTCCATACCACTAAAATGTTTTTTTTAAGAATACATGTGAAAGGACACATTTGTAAGACAAACTCTTAGCAGAGCATACTGTCTATTTATACTCAGAGACACCTTGATATAACCATCTCACACTTCAGATAACTATGTTCCGGTATAGCTTACATACAAGTCAGGGTCCTTGGGTCCATGGAGACTAAAATTCCTAAGTACTGTTTTAGCAGTCATAGTCATCCTCTCTTCCCGAAACATCTTGCCAAAACAAGACCCATATAAAGGATATTACAAATACTTGATTTTGACTATAAAGTTGCATCCTAGTATCTTATAACCCATGAGAGGCAATTCTATTAGCAAGATCCTCAGATACTGGTAATAAAACAGTGACTTCTAAGCTGAGAAAAAAAAATATTCTAAGGGGCTTTATTAATGTAGCAGATATATATTTTACCTTCCTAAGTTTGCAAAATTGGCTGAATATTATGTGTCTGGTTTTATGGATACCTGGGATTCAAAACAAATACCAAATAACTGATAGAAAAAATAGTAATGTATAAACTATAAAACAATGTTGTAAACAAACAGGCACACAATTCTGCATGGAGGAAGATTTAAGATGCAGTAAGGTTTGCTCACCCTTTTTATAGAATGGTTTCCCATATAGCTGACAGAGCCATTTCAATTTCTACAAATTTTGCTCCATATTGCAGTAGCACATATATCACACACATTTACATCATGTATAGATACATATCTATGACATATATAAATATTTATCTCCCACAGCAATACAAACATCCATTTTTTTGAAGGCTACACATATGAAGTAGACTGAAAAAGCATCCTAAGACCATACTGCAGCATTGCTGCCTTTTTCATTCAGTCAATAGCTTTGGGTATCAAATAGCTAACTGCCCAGTATTTGGACAGGACCATTAACTTGTCATGTATGACTCTGCACTCTCCTATTGAAGGGCTACTTCTGTTTTCCCTATTTCTTTCCTTGGCTTCCCAAGCTCTTCCCCCATTTGGCCTTCATTTTATTTTAGATTATTATCATAAACCTCTTTATGACTATGGCTTTTCTTACTCTTGAGAGCAAGTTTCTTTGGAGCTATCAATCCCATTAACTTTCTTGAAGACTTAGGAAGTACGCTACAATTCTCTATCAGCTCACACAGCAGCCAGCCCTGAGCCTAGAAAAACAAAACTATGCTATGGTGTGCAATTTTTTTTTTTTTAATAAACAAAAAAAATCCCGTTTCTAAGAGGTATTTTGCCTTTTGCTCAACTCCAAATCAGAAGATACAATGGTGTATTAAGATCCATATGTTGTACGGCAGTCACAGCCTGGAGGTCACAGCAAACATGTTGAGGATCCTGGTATCACGCACCAACTGCTAGATCTCAGTAAACATGACTTCTACCAAATGAGCCAGAACAGAGCAACAAAGATGAAGGCATTTTATAAACACTGGAGGCAGAGAGACTAAGCAGGGAAAGAAAAAATGATGTTATTTTTCCTCTTACAGGATAAATTAAATATGCAGAAGAGGCTAGTTGATACAGAAAATTTCTCTCCTGCTGATTAAAAAAAAAGCTATTAACAGTGGACTACATCCTGATAATTATATGCTATTATAAACCTGAAAGACATACTGAATTCATTACAGACCAGGAATGTTTGCCCCAAATTAATGTTTACCATCAATCTTAAATCTTTACAGCAATTAGGAAAGTGGGCTATGCAACTTGATGGATTTTCTCCATCTCTGACTTTTTATAATAAAAGTCCATGAAAAGGAGTTCTTACTTGGTCTCATTGAAAAGTTCTCCATCTGTACCAAAAGCAATATCAAGAGGAGGAATCAGTGTCTGCATTGAAAATGCCACACGGCACAGCTCTCGAATCAAACTGCTAATCACAATGAAATCAATTTCTGGTGGGAATGAAATCTTTGGGTTGATGTTCATGGAACGGATTACCTCCTGAAAATAAACACAGTAAGTGAGAAATTTGAGCTCACTAGTGCTTTTACTCATGGGCAAGTATTGAAATCCCTCTTAATTATGCCTCTCAGCTTTCTACATTTAAAAATCATTATAATAAAAGGCTCCCAGAAACGTTATATCTTAGACTATTTCAGAAAATATTAGTTCCAGAAAGAACATGGTGTTATGTTTAGAAATAAAGTATCAGCCATGTCACTGTCATCAGCCTTAGAAGAGGAATGAGGTTTTTCAGTAAAGTACAAAATTTAAGAAAAAAATATGATTTAGCATAAATTTATTTGCTTAACTATAGTTAGACCATATCTTGCCAATGTTATTATTCTAGCAGAGAGAGATATCACTGTCACAGGCAAATAAAACAAATGATAACTGGGCCATACTGCAATATTATTTTGGAAAACAAACTGCCACAGGCCAAAATTCATGCAATAAAATTCTCTTCCCAGTCACAGTGAATTTCTAGTCCCTACACTCTGAATTCATTAGATGTTGAAACAGATCAACACATCACTCCCCCACCACCCTTGACTTACATTGACACTGGCTTGAACATCATACAGATCCTCATGGCGAACTATATAATCCAGGACAGTGTCTTCAAGTGACTCAGGCCCTGAGTGACCTAGAGAGAGAGTTTTTCTTACACGCATTTTGAAATGCCTGTAGGCCATCTTTGCTGCATGAAAAGACTCCTGCAAATGTAAAGAACATTTAGTTAAATTCAGAAGATTGTGAGATTAGATTTTTATCAATGATCTGAAAGGATGAATCTAACCCAGTGTCACAGTTGTAAAGAGGAAGATGGAATGCTGCTGCAAAGCAGAAAGTTAAAAATAGGGAGAACTTCTCAGATTAAGCCAAGTATGATTTATTTTCAGAAGACAGAATTAAAATGCTTCCCACCTAACCTTCTTCTTTTCTGTAAGATTCCATCACATATGCAGAGAAGCAACAGAACCACATTCAAAGATACCAAGAAACAGAGTTAAATAATGAGTATTTTATATGCCGCAGCCTAACTTGTCTGCCAGCAGTATCTCTTTTCTGTTGGTAAGAAAATTTGTACTTGGAAGGTGTAAATTGACTGACAATTGTGGAAAAAAATTCAATGCAAGTTAGATGTGCTTGGGATCACATACAGTAAGAGACATGCTGCCTCCGACACAGGTACGTACTACATCAATTTTACAGACAAGAAAATTAAGCACAGAAAAATGCAAACAATTTTTTTCAGGCTGAGCCTGTGGTAAGTGTGAAGTATCTAGATATTTTCAAGGTACTTAAGAAAACTGGAAAACCTGTATCTACAGGTAAGTGTGAAGCACGGTACTGAAAGATTTTTACTTTTCTAAAATACAATCTTTCCAAGCATACACCCTTAAGTGAAGCAGTGTTGTGCAGTGCAGGAATTGTTTATCTTTCAAGGCCATTCAAAATCTTCCTATGTGCTCCTTTTAGCACCTATACGGTAGATTACTGACCCTGTTCTAGTGTTTGGACAAAAGAGTACCATGCTTCAGAAAAAATGTGAAAAGGACATTAAACTGAGAGTTCAGTTTAACCTTCATACCACAGCTGCGATGTATATTATCCTCTGAACCATCTCCATGTCGCTGATGTATGTCCTCAGAAGGGTCTCTGCATCCAAGCGTTCTTGAGCATAAATGTCACCGAAGCGAGCCACCAGGTAGGCATGACGCGAAGCATTTGTAAGTCTGGCTCGGCCAGGTGAGCAGCTCCTCAGGGGAAGTGGACTAGGTGATCTACTCTGACTGTGTCTTGGGGAAGGAGAACGGCTCCTTGCAAGTCTACAAGAGGTATGCAAAAAAAGTATGAAGTCACTTCACTATCCTCAGATGCCTTGGCCTGTTGCATAGAGTTTTGTGTCAACTTTATTATCAGAGTTAGCTGAGATTTTGAGCCAATATAAGTACGGAAGTAAAGTTACAGCCACAATAGTGGTTAGCCTAGTATGAAGGCACTTGTGTCATTACATTTGATGGATTAGATCCTGAAGAATACAATTAAAGTAATTCCAAATGTGCAGCCAAATGTGCAGCCAAAGCACTTTGTTTCAACGAAGCATACTTTTAACTAGTAAAACTTTAGAAATTTGTTCCTTCTCCAGTACCAGAGCAGAGTTGTAAACCCAAACAAATCAGAAGGTAACAACAAGTTTTGTCCCCTAATGGTACAGTGTTCAAAGGAGCTTATAAACAAAAACTAACCATCTGTTTTTATCCTGTTTAGTTGCTCTCCACCTATTTTGTAAGGCTGTTCTGTTTGCTGTTTTGCCAGAAGCTCAACATAACAGCCTGACATGACGACATTAACATATTGGGGCACTCTGTTAAAGAATTTATGTTCCTTCAAAACAAAGCGCAAAAGCTTAGCTTTTGTTTACACTTCAACCTAAAATGAGGAGTTCATGCAGCCTAACTTCAGTTATTTCTCTGATTCACTGACTTCAGTGAGTTCTCTGATTAACACCCCTACCTGCTTTGCAGAACAGATTTTTGGGCATCCAAAATTGAAATCTCATCCTTCAGTATTTGAATCTGCTGCTCATAGTCATTCAGACGATCTAAGTTCCTCAGAGCGTTCTCCTCCTGGGCATGGGAAGCCTTCAGACTTAACCACACAAAATAGAGCTGGTCACAAGATGTCTTTCTACCAATGCAAACCATCCAGCAACTTAATCCTTATCACCGAACAAAAAGAACAGAAGAAATATTTAC